CACATCCACCGTACTCACCTGATTTGGCCCCCAGTGACTTCCACCTTTTTCCAAACCTAAAAAAATTCTTGGCTGGAAAGAGATTCCACTCAAATGACGAAGTCATCTCTGAAGTGAACGAGTATTTTGCACACCTTGACAAATCGACCTATTGTGATGGCATAAAAAAGCTAGAACATTGCTGGAATAAGTGCATTGCTAACAGAGAAGATTACATTGAAAAATAAAAAAAGTTTTAACATTATTTTGTTTGTTTTTCTATGTGAGGCCGCGAACTTTCCGAACAGCCCTCGTAAACAGTAGAGTACAAAAAGAAGAGGGTCCATATAATATAAGGTCTTTTTATATACAGAAAGATTTAGCATCACCTGGAATGTCCCTAGGAAAGTGCCACAATACTCTCACCAACAGTATCAAAAAATCATAAGTAAACAAAATTATTAGAAGTGATTATTAAACAATTATTGTAATTTAATATACTTATTTATTTTTAAAAATATAATATTGGCAACCATATGAACCAAAAGTTGTGAGAAATATTTTTGCCAATATTTACAGGAAAACACAAATACAATTAGACAATTCTCCTACTTTATAATTAGTTAAGGCTATCACGAAGAAACTCTTTGGTCAAAACCATTTCTTGATGATGTTCATCAAATCATCATCAAACATGAAATGCTTTCTTCAGAGGCCTAAGATATTAGTTACAAGGTCATCATTTTATTTATATGATAGACATCATATATATCAAGTAAATAAGATGAGTACTCCAGGCTTCAGATGCTTGCACATCAATTTTCTTGAATGGTATTATCCACCTTTTTCAGCATATCAGCCATTAGCACTGCACTGGACAGCCTAAATGCACTTGGTTGGTCATATCTTCATGACCTTTTCTGAACACTTGTAACACTTTTGATCAAAAAGCAGGCTCTGCAACCCTCCACAACAAGAAACTGGATCACAGCTCATTGATCAGTTTTGGATACATTTAGCATTGTGGCATTCTTTGTTTCCTTTTTAGTGCACTGCAAATTCACATCCAGACTAACATACATGTAAATCATGAAATGGACTGTCCCAACCATCAAGATCAAGGTTGCTATATTTTTGCAATAATTTGATTTCCTTATGCCAACTCTCATATTTTTTTGTCTCATGCCAATAAACTGATGAAATTAAATTTTATATTACATTTATTTTTAATATCTGATAATAAATATTCAATATGATTAACAGTGTTTATTAAAATTATGTAGCAAGCAATTGGCTTATACTGATATCAATACCAATTATCAATGTATTTTTAATATTTATCAAAATTTATTTATCATATGAAGTAACATAATTAAGTGTGACTTTATAATTTGTAGAAAATGTTTTAAAAAATTATAAATTTAAATAATGAAACATACTTGACTAATAAAGCCAATGACTTCTTCCCTTAGCCAACTAGGATCAAGAGTCTTTATATCATAACCATCTAATAAGATACTTCCTGAAGATACATCATAAAACCTTTCTAATAATGCAGCAACAGTTGATTTACCTGAAATTAAATTCAAATTATTATTGTTAAATTTTATTTCTACAAGAAAAATATTTTCAGAAACTTCAAATTTATTCAAATGTATAATATTTTATGAATACTGAATAAATTATTATCTGGAGAAATTATACAATCATTAAAAAATATATTATTGAAAGATAATAGAAATTTCAGAATTGTTAAAAACAACTGTTTTTGTATAAATAAATACTAATGATTTTTCCATTTGTTTAAATATATATTTATTTTTTAACTTTAGAACGTCCCACAAATAACAGAAATTAGTTTAAATAAAATTTACGTGTTTTAGTTTTTACAGTTTTCTTCAGTTTAGGGTAACTATTAAATAATTACTTATAAAATCTTAAACTTTTTTATTTATACCATACCTATATTTTAACAAAAAATATATCAGAAAAAAAATAAAAATTAAAGAGCTGAAAGAAAAAATTAAGATATGTTGAGACTTATATATACCAAGGTATATTACGTCTATATGAGGGGTAGAAAATGAGGACTTCACAAGATAATCATTAGGAAAAGATTTTGTCAGATTAAAATAAATAAAGCATTATTAGTAACCAATTTTTCATGAAAAATTACCCTCTGGTTAATACTTGTTGTGACTAAATTTTCATCTGTGAGTACACTTTGTGTAGCCTCTTTTGTAAGGTGAAAAAGAAAGTCATCAAAGAATAAAGATTTTAAAAATCATAAAAAATTGGACTTTTTTATGGGTGGCTAAGTAAATATTTTTATTGTAATTTTACTGTTAAATAGGTATCCACTGGATTCCTCTTTGCATAGCTGTTTTCTAATAAGTCCAGTTGTGGTTCCAACAACAAATGAAAAATCTCAATGCACTGTTTTTTCAATACACATTTATTATTCCATTTGTTGTTATAAAATCCATTTTCACTGTAAATAGCCCTCTTCAATTGTAACTAATAAAGTACAATGTCCACAAAGCTTCCATATAAACATCATAATTTCAAGCATGTAGTGTTTTCATTACACTAGTTTTAGCTGCCAACAAATAATGAAATTCATTAACAATCAGTTTGTGCATTTATATGTATGAAACTATACTACCATTCCACTAGTTGCATATCTGTATTTAAATTAATATCATTCACAGTTTACACAATTTACAGTGAAAATGCATTTTGTAACAACAAATGGAATAATAAATGTGTATTGAAAAAAACGATGCATTGAGATTTTTAATTTGTCACTGGAACCATAACTGAACTTATTAGAAAATGGCTATGAAAAGAGAAACCCTAGCAGATACCTATTTAATACAATAATATTATGATAAAAATAAAGATTTTTTTCTTCTAAAATTTATAAAATTTTCAGTAATTACACAAATTATTATTTTATTTAAGTTTTACATAGTTGTCTAAATTTACAAATTTTAATTTTAATTAAAATGAGCAACATAGTTCTTAGTTATGAAAGATTTGGTATGTTTCATAATTGTTGACAGCTTTATTTTTTAAATTAACAGATGTATTTTGTATTACACAAATTCAATAAATATACATGTAACCTTCAATATATATGGTTAACTGGTTCCACAAATACATCACATATATTGAAAATACACATATCAAAGTTAACAATCAATGGAAAATAAATTAATATGGAATTTAATTTTTTGAAGAATTATTAATTAATTAAAAATTTTAGGCAAAATACAATGAAGTTTCACATGAAAATAAAAACAAATTATGGAAAATAACATTAAGGATTGATTATACAGAGTATAGTCTAATTTGCCCAAAAAACAAAAATAAATAAAAAATTTAAAAAATTCCTACTATGTAACAGTTAGCAGAAGTGGAAAGAAGGGATTGGTTCAATGTTGCCAGCTTTGAGCTCTGTCAAGTTGGTAACATTGAACTTTCATCAGAACACACCCAAATTAACTGAACCCACATTGAAACAATATATATCAAGGGTTACCTGTATATTATAATGCTAAATTTTATGTAATTCAATGATTTATGAGTTATATCAAATTTTAATTATAATTCATTTTTATTTAAAAATAGAAAAATAATATAAGAAATAACAAATGTAATTATTTACCTCCACCTGATAAGCCACATATTGCAACAATTTTTCCTGATGGTACATGGAGAGAAAAATCAGTCAATACATTCTAATAAAAAGAAATATAAATTATATATATATA